AAGGAATATGGGAAAACTCCATAATGTCTCCGATAAACATAGTTTCCAACGTGTGAATGTTGTTTTGTCTCTTCTGGTGCGTGAACCATTTTTGGACAGGATTGTCACTGGTGATAAAAAATGAATTCTCTATGCGAATATTAAATGCCAAAAACAATGTCTCAGTCTTAGACAAAGACCACTTCCAACCCCAAAACCTGGACTCCATTCACAGAAAGTGATGCTTTGCACTTCACTCATCAATCGGAAAAGTGTTCTTCTCCACAACAATGCACGTCCACATATGGAACGTTTGACGCACCACAAGATTATGGAGTTGGGTTGGGAAGTTCTCCCCCACCCACTATATTCTCCAGATATGGCACCATCAGATTACCATATTTTTCGTTTGCTGCAACACCATCTTAATGGGAAAACATATGCAAGTGTGGAAGGTGTTAAAGAGGACATCGACATGTTTTTTGCTTCAAAGCCAAATGATTTCTTTAATCAGGGCATTAAAAACCCGATTGTAAGATGGAAAAGCATCATTGATAAGAATGGAGACTATTTCATTTAATAAATGTTTTGATATACAAGTTGTTTGGGTTTTTCATCTAAAAAAAAGCAACATTAATTTCTTGATGAGCTAATACATCATAAACATTGTACATTCCAACCCAGCCAATCTGATGAGTTTTAGCATTAAGTGACAGGATCCATTAGAAGTATCACATAATGTTCAATGTTTAGTTGAAATGCTGTCATTCATTCTTCAGTGGCATAGCGGTATGTCTGTGGACTTACAACACTAGAAACCGGGTTTCGATACCTGTGGTGGGCAGAGCACAGATAACCCATTGTGTAGCTTTGTGCTTAATTACTAACAAACAATCAATCATTCTTCTTTCTAGAAACTTGTATTGGGCTGGTAAGAATGATGCAACTTGAAATAGCATTCTCAGTGTCATACATGTTACTTACTAAAATTTTATTATGCATGTAGATTACATTTAACAATAAGAAACAACAAGCAAGCATTATTTCTGTATTAACAGGTAACACATATGCTTAGAACATATGTTTAATAGAAAGTAGAAATGTATAAAGAGTTAACTGCTGATATCATTGAGTTCAATATACAGAAGCTTAAATGATAGTATTTCAATGTGTGTTTCTCCAATATTTAATGTTTTAAAATTCAGTGACATGTTAATTTTACCTACAGAAAGATTTGTTTGATTTTATTTTTGAAGGTAATCTCTAGTTTGATTAACAGAAATCAAAGTTAGGACAAACTGGCCCGAGTGTTATCTATCATGACTGTATTTTATAATGACAATGGGAACCTCTGTTGTAGTAGATGTGTTTGCTTGAGATAGCAGTTTGCTATGTACACAGTACTGTTGGTAGAAAAACATTTCATATAGTGTATTATGTGTCTTAACACTAAAAATAATTCTGGTTTTTTAGCATTTCAGTTATAATTACTTATTACAAATACATTTTTTTTACTGTTGAAAAACGTTTATTGATCTACTTTGTCACTCCCCTCAGGAGAAATTCTGACTCAGCATTCATGGTTAAAAGTCTCATTACGCATGCAATTTAAATGGTTAGGTTCTAATTCTTCATACTTGATTTATAAGGCAATGTATGATTCATCTATAACAACATTCGATGTTGTTTATAATAAGTTATTTTATGGTATTAAATGCTTAATTCTCATTTTTCTTAAGTCTTCAGTTTTTTAGTGAGTTAACATTTTCTTATTTAGATTTAAAAACTCAATTAAATCTGTTACCCTATCATATCATAAAGTGTCACCTACTCTTATTGTTTCGTGTTTTCATAGTCCTTAAAGAACTCTAAAAAAATTTGAATAACAACACAAGCATTAACTGAAAGCTTTCCAAAGCACACTTGCATTAACACATTTAATGGTTGAATATTTATTTTATATATTTAAATTGCAGTTAGTTGTTCCTTCAGATATAAAATTTGAGAACTTATTATTTTCTTTCCTTAACGTACTTACTATTCCACCAAATGCTGACCTGCAGTTTGAAATTGGAATCTTGGCAATCAATGGCCAATGAAAGTTCTGTCTTTTTTTCACCATTAGTTAAAACATCTTACCATACCTTCATCTCAGTTTTTTCTGTGTGGAGTAATGAATTGAAATTTAATGACTTTTTTTAATAACAATATAAGATTTAAAATTTTCCATTTTGAAATATACTAAGATCATGTTAATTCTTTATCTATTTGTTCTTGAATCAGGAAATAAAATTAATGTGCAAAAGAAAAGGTTGTTTGCTTTTTTCTATTATTAAAGTGTTATTTTTCATTTGTATGTTCTATTTGCATCAAAGTAAAAATAAATTCAAGCATAGTTGCCATTCGTACAACCTCCATAGTGAATGGTACATCTCCGTGCGAAACGGGTTAGTTTTGACGTGAAATATAACTTCACTGTTATCCCAAACTATTATTGGTATATTTCTGACACTGTTGTTAAAACTTACAGGAACAAAGTCTCCCTCTCTCAATATTCTTTGTAGCCTGCTGCCTCAGGCTGTAGAGCTGCTCTGCCATATGTAGCAGGTCCTCCATTAAACCAAGATCCAAATTCAGTAAGCCCCCCCCCCCTCAAACAAACTCTGCCTAACTTTTTGTGACATTTGCAAGTGAGAATAGTAAATGTATTCATTAGAGGTGTGCGGAAAGTATATTATGTGATTAACCTGTATTGGAGATAAACTTTGGCTGTGAGACCAAACAGTGCGTGTGTGTGTGATAGATGGATATTGAATAGGTAGCTAGAGGTGAGCCTAAGAAACTTGATGCCCAAATAGTGAGACTGGTCTGTACCAAACTAAAACCTGAACATGACATTTGTATGTAGGCTATTTCAGCACTGATCTCTTCATACAGATGCCTTTTTAATGAATAAACATCATTTTACAGTAAGTAAGATTAGTTTTTAGAACAGGTACAACGTTTCGATCACTGGTGCGATCATTATCAAGTAAACAAGTTTCTACAGTAAAGAACGTTTTAGTATTTAAAT